GATAATCACACAGCAAATTTTGAATTATGTGAAAACAAAAATAAAATTGAGGCCTGAAAGCGGCGCAGAATGCTCCACTCAACTTACTCTAAATGGCTCTAATTATAGCATACGGCCGGCAAATACAGAGGTGTTCACGCTGTTAAGCTTCTAGGCTGGGGTGTAGAAAACGGAACAAAGTTTTGGCTTGGAGCCAACTCTTGGTCAGAAGATTGGGGAGAAAAAGGTAAATGAATAATTTTTGAAAGGTGATATACATAAACCCGAAAGATTTTATTGCTGATTTTTTAAAGGATACTTCCGCTTTTTACGCGGAGAGAATCATTGTGATTTTGAGCAAGGTATATCGGCTGGACTATTCAGACTGGATTGAATGTTTAAGAACAGATCCTCTGTGCTACGAAACGTCGAGTGAGCTACGGAAATTTGTAAAATTTCAAATATTTTGTTTGCAGAATTGATTTCAATAAATTTATAAGTATTCAACTAGTTACCTTCAAAAAAATTTGTTTCCTGATCCTGTATGGGCAAGCATCACACTTGAGACCGATTAAAAATAGCAAACAATAGTTATTATTTCTGTACTTTCGAATCGGAGGCTGCGTTACAAGAAAAATTATGCGTTATTATGCAAACTCTACCTCTTACGTTCGTTCTCATTATCCTGTCAGACTTTCTATCTATTACTGATGTATGATATCGAAGAGAAACATCTGGAGAGGGAGGAAAACTCTTAGGACAACGTCTGCAAAATTCTACAAAAATTTGTGAGGAAAGAATATTCATTTGCCTGTATTAAATGTAGTTTAAGCAGTTCAATTGTTCACATAAAACTGCGTAGAATGTGAGCCACAGTTAGATGAGATTTTCGTCAATTACGTTGTCATTTCAACCAATAGCAAGCAAAAGTACGCATTTTATGGTTTCTGTTCTTGCACTTTTCCTTGAAGCTCCGCTATTTATTCAAAAAATTACATCAACTTCCTTAACTTTCCATTATGAATGTATTTAAATAGCAAAGTTGCAGCATTCAGCCAAACTAACAGCCATATCCCTGCATGCTTCTTTTGGGTCGTGCTATAAACAAGCTGTGAGTCATTTCTTCTAAGTCGCGCCTTTCACTCAGTAACTTCAAAAAACCGCAATGTAGGGAACGTGTTTGATGTGGGGAAGAAAGACATCTTGCCACAATAGGATTGATAAAGGTAAATTAGAAAGGATTTTAGAAAGTTCATTTAGACATGTAATGGTGTATGAATCACACAGATATCGCGCAAACAAAAAAACATTTAGGCCAAAGAGTAAACCCGCTTTTTCAAACTTTCAGAAAATCTCTGTAAGCTGTAAAAGCGGCTGCTACTGAAATAGGTTTTTAAAATTACTGAGCACTTAGTATTTGGTCTTGCCACATGTGGCAGCCTCCACAAGGTTCCTAGGATCCTTAAGATCGCTATACAATACGAGTTTAAATGATATAATTAAGTAAACTCATCAGGAAGAATATTCAGCCACAAGTTAAGGCAGCCCGCAATGTTCTTAAATCGAAAGTTGC